GGAAGATTACTAGATATAGGGTAGTCTGGTATATTTAAGAGGGTGACAACGTGACGGAACAATAATGTGTGTGTAGGTAGTGAGTAATTGATTTGCAGTGAGAAAGTATTGTTGAAGTTAACGTTCGTGAAAGCGTTTGTTTTAGCGCGAATGTTGAAATCAAGTGTATCGTGAAGTTATATTCAGAAAGAATAAACCAGTTTTATTAAGTAAGGACTTGTGTCGCTAAAGTTTCGTCAGAACAAATTTACGGAAAATCAATTAACGAACGGAGACGTAACAATATCTATGTGTTTCCCTGGTAACAGGCTTTTTAGCAACATATATAGCTTTTTATCAAAAAGTCGGAACTCTAAATAAAATCAGCACGGTATAGTATAGGTGGTAGTTTTGTAATTTATGTTATGTATCTCATAAAGAAGAATCTCAAGCAGTGTTATGGACTAGCTATTATGCACACACAATATATATATATATATATTATTTTATAATGTTTATGTGTTTCCCCGTTGGGAGGCTATTATGCAAGGTAGCCTCAACTGCCTGAAACCCGGAATGCTAAATAAAATCAACGTGGTATAGTATAGGAAGTCGTTCATTAATTTATTATATGTATCTCCTAAAGAAGAATCTCAAGTGGTATCATGGATAAGTTATTATGCACACACACACGATGTATTTTTTACTCTATGTGTGTCCCCAGTGGGAGGCTATTTAGCAACTTATATAGCTCACTTATCAAAAAGTCGGAACTCTAAATAAAATCAACACGGTATAGTATAGGTGGTAATTTTGTAATTTATGTTATGTATCTCCTAAAGAAGAATCTCCTGAACTGCTTGCTGGACTCACCAACTTTTAAATGGTGCCAAACGAATCGTATCGGCTCCGAGGTTTGAACAAAGATAAAACGTTTCATCCACCCTCTTAAGGAACCTGAGTATTTCGCGAGAACACATTTAAGGGGATTCTCCGAAAGCAAATTTGGCATTGATTTACATTAGAACACATAATAAGTACGCCTACTAATTACCGCTCGTAACTTGGTTAAAAAAATTAAATTTACATTATAGCGGGAATGATCAATAAACTGAATAAATGCAAAATAGTAGTTCTTGCTTTAAATTTGCATTATATTGGCCCTGTAAATGTGGGCCATAGGCCTACGAGTTCGCTAGTTTACTAAAATAGTTTGTTTATTTTGAATTTCACTTTTGAGCTACTCTTTTACCAACGAATATTGGGATTGACCGTCACTAATATACTTATCTTTTCGCTTTCATGTATGAGATTTACCACTAATTCACAATAATATGCAGTTTTCGTTTCTGTAGAGACTTCAGTGAAACTTCAAAAAATAGCCATGTAACATCATTTATAACTGTGAATGAGAATATGTTATTCAGCAAAAAATATTCATATTTTAAATATGACACCGTTAAACCAGTTGCACTTAACACATGAGGATTTTTATTTTTTAATTTGACATCTATACACGATAGGTGTTATTGTTAGGCTTAAAAAATCGCCCAGTTCAAAAAATCAAGGCTACAAAACAAATCTAAATTAAAATTATTTAGCGATGTTTCGGGCAGACACCTTTCGTCAATCGTCAGACTAAACTCATGAATTATACGGCTTGATAGTAAAACCGAGAAGCTATCTTTTCTGTAAGTGTAAGGTGGGCTATCCCGATGAAATGTGTCTACCCCTAAATAAAAGGTTTATTTTAGACTCGTGTTATAATATTGTTTTTATCATGAGAATTTCCTCTTTCTAAACCTTACGATAAATTAATTCTCTAATCACGTGCAGAAAAAGCTGAAATCGTTCGAATAACGTGAAGAAAAATTCCATCCGAAATTTTACGTATACTGACGGAATGCGATTGCGAGACTAACTCAATAAGTAACTTGTTACTGTTAGTGTTAATCGAATATGATTTTTAATCAAACTTGCTTTGTTATTTTTGAAATCATTTGCAGGTATCTAACACCCTAAAGTGTTCATGGATAAAAATAAACAGTGAAGAAGTATACCTATAAATTTTTCTCATTGCAGGTCAGTAAATAATTCGTTACATTTGTTTTTCATTTCAAGACCAGGATATAGTTTAGTTAGGCTTATCAGGAGCTTCAATATAAGTTAAAAACACTATCAACGTAATGAAACTTAGGCTTAACATTTAATATCAACTTCGGTGTTAATTCATTCAGTAAACTCTACAGATTATACATAATTGGAAATTTAGTATTGTATTTTATTGCGTAAAAGACAATATTAAAAATAAAATAAACCAAGACACACGAAAGAGTCTTGGACTATTTAAAAAAGAGAGAATAAACACCCATTCTCAATCTGTGAGTCGTGGATTCGAATCCCATCACCGAAATGCTCGCTCTTTCTGCCGTTGGGGTATTGGATTTTGACGGTTAATCTTACTTTTCGCTGGTAAATAATAGCCTAAGAGTTGGTGGTGGGTTGTTTTAACCAGCTGCCTTCCCTCTTGTTTATCATTTATAAATTATGGACGGCTATCAGATAGCCTTTAAATAGCTTTGCGCAAAATTCAACGAACAAACAAACATCTTAAGTTTATAGGAATAGAATTTTCTCGTGTGTTGTTTTTCTGCTACACTTTATACAGGAATGGTCCTGCATGTAGTCAAAGTAAGAGAAACTTATTATTTGAGTTACAAAAAAATCTACAATTGAAGATGATTTAAATAGCAATTAATTGATAAATGTTTTCATATTTTAACATCTAATCAAGTTCACAAATTCAAATAAAACTCAGATCCGGATGTTGTTTAATAACATCTTGTTATTTTGTAAGCATTATATGTTTAAATATATTGTGTTTGATAATATTGTGTAATATAAATAGACTTGGTGATTTTTTTTTTTGCATTTACTTGTTGCAAAGTTGAATTTGATCGATAATCTTCATGGTTGGTGTAGTACCTTGATTTTTGTAAAGATTGTTTAAACTGTTATAACTTACTCGATCGGGTTATTTTGAATTATTGGTAAAAAATAATGCCAATGAAAGTCCATGTAACGATAAAAAATTAATTTATTCCTTTTTTAATGTTTGCTACAAGCTACTTGCACTTGTAAGCCCAACTTCACAAACAGTATTTAAACATTCTATACTAATGGTATACATTCAAAGCTATACTAAAGTTAAATTTCCTCCGGCAAATCATTTGATAACAGACACACTAATTAACTCGTTTTTTATCTGATTAACTGAATCACAGATATGAATAACTCACTGACTGGCACTGAACTGATTCATTGATTCACTGATTACTTTACCGATTGTCGTTTTATATCATACTTTTATTTCTACATACTGCACAAAATGTTTAGATTCTACAATGCCCTTAACTTTCATGAACTTTCTAGGTATTCAATCATAAGCCCTATAGAAAGCAAACATTTAAATTAAAATATTAAGTAATAGCTTACAACAGTGCCCCTTCCTGGATTGGGAAGTTTCTTGAACAATTCTAATCGATGATAATAAAAGGGCGAGTCTGTGGGTTTGTGTGTGTGTGTGACCGCCATAACTCCAAGAAGAAAGAACTTAGGAACCTGAAATTTTGCACAGGTACAAAGTGGACCCTCAGGGTGTGCATCTGGTATTATTATTTATCCACGTGCGTGTGCGACCGCATATTTTTATGAGGCAAGCAAGCAAAAAACCACATAGAAAAGAAGTGTGACCACCATAGCTCCAAGAAGAAAGAATCTATAAACCTGAAATTTTGCACCCATACTAAGTGGACCCTGAGGATGTGCACCCGTGAATTACTTATCTTATCCACGTGGGTGCGCGCATGCGCATCTTTTTAATGGGACAAGCTATCAAAAAACCACATAGAAAAGAAGTGGTTCCTTATATTACAAATATGATTCACAGACAGCCACGCATATGTGCATCTTTTTAATAATGCAAGCTAGCGAAAAACCAAATAATTCATGGATTTTTCCATTGTTTATGTGCAACTGTAACTGTTTCAAATTCCATTGCCATCTGGACAATTTCCTTTAAATATATACACCTACTTCGCTGTAGTCTAATTTGCATATTCTCAGCTACTATTGCATCGTGAATTTGTGATGTGCCAAATAATTCGTCATTTTATATGGATGATCTTTAGTAAGATCAGCTAAGTTATCGTCCTCCCTCTTCTAAACTCTACTTTAGAAACTTCCTTTTGAGTGGCACTCCAGATTTGTTTGATAAGGCAATTACTAATTCATGATAGTTGTTATATCTCTCTATAGGAAGTTGCTTGATTTATTTGAAGCTAGTCATTTTAAATATGCAACAAGATGAATGACTTGATCGTCACCACTATTACATCCCTTCACTTTGGAAATTATTTTAAACTGTGCCTAATATGCTTCTTATGGTACATCTTCATCATTGTGTGCTGTTTTTTGCGTTGTGCAATTGTTGCTGAACTGGCCTGCTAAATTCCATAATATTAATGGGATAGAGATTTAGCTGGAATAGTTTAGGAAAGTCCTGCCAGTTATACGTGGCACAACAGCAGTGATAACAGGCTCTCCTATTCCACATTGTATGGTTATTGGTGTGTTTAAGATTAGAATTCTTGAGTGGATGCAGACAGAGGTGTGTCTGGTTTTATTGTAGTTAAGCACAAGCTAGATAATGGGCTATCTGTGCTCCGCCCACCACAGGTATCGAAACTCACTTTCTAGTGGTATAAGTCCAAAGACACACCACTGTGCCACTGGGGTGCATTATAATTGTCAAATCCCATTTTTTCGTGTGTAAGCATTTACATTTTCTGCTGAGCCTCTGAGGAGCTGTGTTATTTGACAAAAAAGCAAAATCCTGTTTACTTAATGATAATGAAATTATTTAATTCCTTCAACCACACATTTTACAACTTTCGTGATTTCACGAAATAACAATGAGCCTATCTCTACAAATAACACTAAACAATCACTTGCTAATTTTTCATCATACAGTACCCTCCCACCTCTAGTACTTCGTTGAAAGACAAACTCGTTGTTCACCAAATTGAACTAACTTTCAAGAAAGTTCTAGCTAATAATCTAAGTGCTCATAATGTGGTGTCAAAATCTCCGTATAGCCAAAAAGAATTCAAATGTTTAAATAAATATAAAAACACAATTACACAATACTTTTAATATGGTGTGCATATTTGTTATAATGACTTTGTAATGAAAATCCCTGTTTTGACTCCTTGTCTACAGTACTTATCAATTTTAGTGGAGTCAAAATAAGGATTTATAGCTTGAGAAAATAATATAGACTATTTCTAGCCTAGTTTGTTTTCTTTTTTTAAGAGTCCCTAGCGGTATGCTTGAAAATATAATCTTTACATTTTGATTCAACTTGTTTCTGTACATTTTTGATGATTCCTATTTTCCTTTTTAAATTAACAATTTGTAATTATCTTGTAACATTTTTATTTCAGTTAGTGGTAAAGAAATTGGAGTTAACTGCAGCATTACTGCTCTGATAAATTGACGAGTACGGAAATATATTTCATTGAAGATTGGTTTGTATTATTTGATAATATGATTATTTGTATATATATATATATGTGTGATATACAAAATATTGACGATAAATAATAAATAATCTCTATGTTATTATTTCTAGTAAATGCTGAAATACAAATTATGGCTAAGTACCGGCATCCAGAGCCTACTCCACATGCATTATCCGAGTCTTACGAGTTTGTATACTCGAAGAACAAAGGTAATGTGCTTATAGACAAACTAGATCCAAACCTTGGGACTATTCAGTCAATGCCTAAGTTGGAACCAGAAGAAAGGTAAAAGTGAAGTATTTTTCTTTTAATCATATAAACAAAGACAACAAGTGGTATCTCTACATAAACAGTCTGTCAACTTTACAATGTAAGCTTTGTATACAAAAATATCGCATATATATGCAAATAAAGTCTCCTTTCTGACACGAATTGCTGAAAGCTAAATGTGTGTCATCGTTAAAGATAAACAAGCTATACTGTGATATCGTAAAGAGACTTCCATAGGTTCTTCAATAAAGTACGATGCCAAAACCTTCCACAAAGTAATCAATTTCATACCCACGAAAAAGAACAACATGCTTTCTATTAAAAGATATTTGTGTATGATAAATTTAATAAAATTAACTTTTTTTTTCGCATATAGAACCCAGTTAGAATCATGGAAAAGATCAAAGAGAAATAATTTAAAAATATGTTTACTCTCTTATCACATTCAATATCTATTTGATGCTAACTGTTTAGCCCTATAAGTTTTTATTGTTATTAAACTTTATGGGTTTAGTTGTTGTTAAGCACAAAGCTACACAATGGGCTATCTGTGCTCTTTCCATCACGGTTATCGAAAACCGAATTTTAGCGTCGTAAGCCTTAATACTTACCTCTGAGCCACTGGTGTCATATTTTATGGGTATCTTTCTGTTAAGATATGTGATCATGATTTGGAACTAGTTTTGTAGTAGATGTTTGGATTGATATGTTTCGATAATTGTTTTCCAATAACGAAAGGTTTACAAAATCCTAATTATTATAGCTTACATAGGATTTAACTTTTTTTTTTTTTCTATTTTATTGTGGTAGTATTAAATTCGTCCGGGTTGTTTTATAACATTTTGGCAGTGATTAAAAGCTAATGCTTGATCATGGAATGTAACTCCAAACTTAAATGAAAGCATTTATTTATTTGTGCCTATGTAAATTTTAGAAAAGCTGGGACTAATTTATGCTGAACACCTATTACTTTTTTTAAGTATAAACTTTAAAGCAGCATGATTTATACAGTATAATTCTATTTCGCGTTGGGGTTGTAGATTTACATGTCTTCACACACATATATTAACTATTTTAGACATTTTTATATTTCATCTTTAAAGTTATAAAAAGGAGGAGTTTGTGGTGTATTCAGATGTGATATTTGGTCTTGTTTTCTCACTTTCGAAATTTAAATGGTGACAATTTTTACCAGTTTGTAATGAATATCTTATACTTTTATGTGTCGTAATTCCGTATGTACCTAATCATTCTCACTTTCAAGATATTCACGTGAGAACACCACAGTTTCGAGTCGTTGGTAAAGCATGTGATTTGACAATGTTGTTTACCATCGTTATTAATTTTTCACTGACCTGACATGGCCTGGTGGTTAGGTTGCTCGAGTAGCAATCTTCAGATCGCGGGTTCGAATCCCATTAACGAATATGCTTGCCCTTGTAGTCGTGGGGGAGTAATAATGTGACAATTAGATAAAGTCAAGAGTTGGTGGAGGGTCGTGTTGACTAGCTGCCTTCGCTCTAGTCTATCACTTCTAAAATAGGGATGGCTAGCGCAGATAGCCCTCGAGCAGCTTTGCGCGGAATTCAACATACAAATAATTTTTCACTTACTTTTCTTACTAATGTCATTGGATTTTGACTATAATGTCGAGGTCTTATGCATTGGTATAATTATTTTTAGAGTTGAAATAAGGAGACATTGAGGAATGGATTAGCGTGTAACAGCAGAAGTGGAAAAATAAAAGTTTCAATTAATTATTTGATGTTGAAGTTTATATAAATGTTAATTTATATATATATATTCTTTTTCTTAAGGAATGACCATCTTAGAAGGTGGAGAACTCTGAAATATTTCAGGAAAAATTTACCAATAGTTAATTACCTAGATAATGAGTCTAATCCTGTTATAATGGTATTGGGCGGCATCAGCACCATACAACCAACAGACTACTTAAATAGTACGTTTATAATATAAAGAGATGACACGTTTTAAGTTATTTTAAATGTATATGCATATTCTATAGTAACATACAGAGCTCATTATTAAGAATATACCTTGAAAAACATATTTAGAATCTAAGAAAAAAATAATGAAATTAGATAAAAAATGGTATTTAATTAGACTGTACACATTTTCATTCATACTTGGTTCATTCATTCCACAGCATTTAACTGTTGAGATGTAAAAATCATGATGTTTGTTTTAGCTATATGCTGTGTCCACCACGGGGAATCGAACCCCTAATTTTAGCGCTATAAATCCATAGACTTACCGCTATTTCATTGAGGAACAAAACCGTGATGCTCCTTAAATGAGTACTCTGTATTTTAAGAGTAAAAACAAAACCAAAACGACGTTTTTTGGCACAGTGAAAGGTGAACTTTATTAGATGTTACAGCCGATTATATGTGATACCTAAACGTAGACGGCTGAAATAACTAATAAAGAGTTTATTTTTCACTGTGCCTGAAACCCTCGTGTTCCAATTTAGATTTAACTGGATTAGTGAACTTGTAGGCTATCGATAGCTCCTGACGAAGCTGTGATAGTGAAATATTGAGCTAATAAAGTAACATTCTGGAGTTATAGGTGGTGATTTGATTTATGAAAATACTATGTAAAAGTCTCTGTCTTTTTAAAATCGTATGAAATGTGAATCATTTTTTATGATTTCATTTAATATTTGTGGTACGTATCAGCTGTAACTATTAATCATTACTGTTGTATTTTATGATAACCATTAACCCCATAAAGAGCACATTGTCAAATGCTCCTACTACTTAACAAACAATTACATTTATTCTTAACAACCTTTGAGCAAATTTTCAAATAAATTTGAACTATTACCAACACTATTTTATGTGGAATGTTACAAAATTAATATTCCTCAGAGTAGATGAATCGTTTTCTTTAAAAATTGCTCTGAAGTTCAACTTCTAAGGTTTTTTTGAAACTATGTCTAATTTCCAACCTTTTGAAAACGCCTTAACCTTAACAAGTTGGGTTTGTTACAAAAATTCTTCGTACTTTCAAAGAAAGAATAATTTTATATACTACTTCTTGTATGTACGTTCTTATATAATATTCTTCCATTTCTTGTTTCACGATGGTTCATAGTATCTTAAATCGAACGTAAGATAATTCTAGCAGTACAGAAAAGCCTTTGACTACAGTTTGTTTGTGGTCAACTTAATATCATATTACATATAAGAACTGTTTATATATTTATCAAGGTGCCGCCATGTTTGTGTTCCATCCCGATCGTAACAAATGGAATTTTTTGGGTACTATTTTGGAGCCACGTGTCTATCATGCAGGAGCATATCTTCACGGACGGGTGTACGTGTTTGGTAAGTAACTTAAAACAAATTAGGAGAATAGTATAAAAAGCCAGTACTACAGGAATGCAACCCTTGTATCGCATAAAAATGAATTGCACCACAGGCTGTCACATGTTGATATAATTTTCGCTTTGATTGGTTGTTATCTAACTAATAGAAAGTATCACATCAGTATAAAGACTATAAGAGTACAATCAGTCACATTTTATCCAATAGTAATTGTAGTATGCATCTAGTCACGACTACCAGGACTAAGAAATCGCATGACAGTCATATAGAAACCAATGTTTTATGTGGTTAAGGATAGCCCTTGCGAAACATTGCGACAAGGCTTCACATTACAGTTGAGGTTGTATCCAAGATTCTGAAGAGGGTACGTGAAACTGGCAATGTTAATAATAGATATAAGTATCTCAGGACATGATCTACACGTCACAAAGAGCACAGATCCTTCCAACTACCGAGCTCCATATGAATATGTGACTGTTACCTCTAGAGCAATACGATACAGATTATCACAGTATGGTCGCAGTGGATGCTTACCTACTCGAAAACTGCTTCTGGAAAAAGGTAATATAACTAAAATATTGAAGTGATTCATAGACAGTGGAATGTGAAAAACTAGAAACGTATACTCTTTACTAATAAATACAAGAACTGCCTTTTTCAAATAAATAAATAAATGGGGACGATTTTTTCTATACTGTGATTGGTCTAAATGAAAGTATTCAAAACGTAAGAGAAGAAAAACAAAGTGGAGCTTAGCTTACCTCACAATAATACATTGAGTCTTGGGTAAGTGTTTTTTTTTTAAAAGGAAATCAAAAGATAGTGGACTTCCCCCCCCCCTCCGGCTACATCCTTGGGTTCAGTGCCAGTTTGGAGTTGTACCTCAACCAACGGTGTCAGTGACTTAAATCAGATTCATAGTACCCTAATGTTTAAAAGTTGACGATTCATCCTGCTATTCTTCAGAAACACGAGTCACTGGGCGAGGATTCAACTTCCAGTAAGACATTAATGTTAAGATTACTGTGAATGCGGTGAAACGATATTTTGATGGTAAAGAGGGCAATCATTGTTTGGTCTATTAAAGTCTCTATGTAAACATTCTTTAGACTTTACGAGCTTACGTAGGATGCTTCACAAAATTACCGAATTGTGAGAAGTAATACAGGAAGGGCTCTTATCGTGCATTGATAAACTGTATGACAGTGTCAAAACAAAATATAGTGCCCTGTGTAATGCACTGCGTTCACGTGCAATATACTAGTGCATTGTACGACATATATCAGGTTTTGTATTATCCATGATAATCACCGTTTAGTACAATTACTAGCTGTTTGTGACTCTTGTATGTATATCGCTTGAGTATTTCCATAATTATTTTTATTACTTCATATGTGCATGTACTTATACAAAGTTAATGTTCCGTGTGAAAATTGTATTATATTATATATGTGTTTGATGATTAAAATTTAATGAAATCACCTAATCTGTTAAATTTAAGCATACGTGTATATACGGAGATATATATATATATATGTATTATCGTATTTATCACAATAATAAAAGGGAGTTAAAGTATTTAATACAAACGCAACTGTTTTTTTTTAACTTCAAAAATACTAATAATAGTAATAAACTATCAAATCTCCCCAGGTGGCTATAATCCATTAGAATGTGTTAAAGACAAGATGCAAACGACGTCAACTACGTTTCAGTATACTCTTCGATCAAGACAGTGGAGAAGAAGATCAGACATGCGAAATTCTCGAGCGTATCATGGTGCGACAGTTATGGATGAAAGAATCTTCGTGATTGGTGGAAAAGACTCGTATGGAAAGTAGGCAAGATTTTCAAGTTGTATTCAGATTTTTTTTTATTATTATTAATAACTCTTCTTTTAATTATTAATTATATCGTCTCTATAGTAATATTAGTATGACGCTTATTATTATATGCAATTATCTCATACAGCATTTTAGCCTCGGTAGAAGTATATGAACCTGAAATAGATCAATGGACAGTTGCTGCCTCAATGCCAGAACCTTTAATGGGAATCGCTGTTACAAGCAATAGTGGATTCATTTACGTAATTGGTGGCGTAGGATGTGTCAGAGAGATGAAAACAGAAACTTATTTGTCTAGCAAAATTTATTGCTTCAACCCACTGTATAACAAGTAAGTTTCAAAGTAGATATTTAGTGTTAAAAAGTTTGTTTGTTAAAACTAAACTAACAAGCCATATTGGGCTATCTGTTGTATCCAACGCCGAATTGTAACGTTACACGACCGTAGACTTACCGCTGTCCCACTTGGGGGGAGAGACTGAAAAAAGGTTATTGTAACATATATAAAAAGTATTACTTATGTATATAATTTCAATGTATCGTTAGAAATCAACATCTTTTTTTTTGCAATACTTTTTTCTTTGTTTTTTTTTCCTTTACTGTTTCTATTTTTCTCAGATAAACTTATATAAAGAAACGTTATTCTTTATTATGATATAATACAGGACTCGCATTAAATACCAATATTTACTGTTTTAGATGGTTTCGGAAATCTCCATTATCTTCTCCTCGCGCTTTTGCTGCTGCTACAACACAAAACAAAAGAATTTGGTTATGGGGTGGTGCCACTTTGAATCGTTCTGACGAGACACTTTCTAGCATGAATACCGTGGATATCCTAGACACTAGGACAGGAAGTCTGGAACATCATCTCTCGTTTGCAATTCCAAAACACTGCCTTGCTGTTGTTAAAACTAGTAAGCATTTATTATAGCTATTTTCACATATACATTTTAATAACGTTTATTTTTCATTAGGCTACTGTCGGTACTATTAACGTTGGTGGTTATTTTACAGTGAAGTACAGCTGTGTTTAAAGAATGGGAGAATCAACAAACTGTTGTACTTTATTATTATTATTATGGCAGAACACACACCTTAGTGATTCGTCAAAATAAAAATTAAACATATGTGACAAGTAGTGTTTTTTCTTATACTGTAAGTATCGTAATAATTATCCTCGTGTAGTTAATAAATGGGTTAATTTCACTCAAGTACACATGTTTTATCATACTTGATATGTTTTTATTTCGCCAAAAGGTGACATCCTGATATACAGAGGGTTGAGCACGTTATATTGAAACGATTTTGGATATGGAAATCAACAAGACACGTGACAACCATACCCAATATAAAGTCACTGTGGAACGCCTTGTTTGGGAACTACATTTTAACATTCTTTAGGGTTCGTAGGTAGTATGATGCAAACGAAAAGTGTAAAATAATATGATAAATATTCATACACTCAGATCATAATGATGTTTTCAGATCGTGGACTTGAACTTTCAAGATTGGGATATCTCTTGTACTTGATGGCATTTGAAAACAAAGGGATATAGATCAACTTGGCACCAGAACCATCTAGAAAGAGACTTGCAACAAGTCATACCTTTGCCGTACTAAACAAAGTCACGTGTAGATAAGTTGTTTCCACGACTTATCTATTCAATCGTCACATTACTCAGCAGCTAGAGAATAAAACAGGTATTCATACTATTTCATTCGAAAACGTATCGGTAAAGTTTCCTGATTCAGTGCTTATGGATTTCTGTGCAATATGATTGTTGAAATTGGCGCTGTAAAATAATCGTCTTCGAACGCTGGATAATTATGAAGCTACAGGGAGGAGTGGTCTGTTTTGGACATGACAGCTTTTCGAATGAGTTTACAATGGAAACTACACTACAGGGCTAATGTAAAGATGTACGGTTGACAGATAGAGCCTGGCCAGTCATGCCGACGACATGAACTATCAGAACGTAATGCGGTTCCAAAATCGTTTTAGTATAACACACTCAACCCCTGTATAACATAACTAACTCTCTGTACTATACCTATGTGAGTATTTCAAACAGTTTTAATAAAAACAACGATATAGCTAAAGGATATGAAACGGAGGTGAACTGCATGCTTTGACGGGTGAACGGTACAGACATTTAACCATTGTGTGTGTGTGTGGGGGGGGGGGTAAACAAAGAATATACATAACATAAACTATGAATATAAACTTTACATGAAATGCTCTAAAGTGTATACTTTGATATTTCACGTGTATATTTTATCATAAACATATAACCAGGATACGAAAGCTCGACTATAAGTACTTTTTGCTCTTCTTCTGATATATTACTTCTTTATGACTGCAAACTGTAGACTTTCTTATATCATGAAACTCAGAGAAGACTAAACTGGTTCTCAGACTTCAATAAAAAATAACAAATAAATATATGTTCTTTTAGAACATCGATGGAGAAAGAAAATTATAAAATAGATGACTTACAGACTATGATGTAAACGAAATCCAAGAAAATGTATTGACATATTTATGACTGTCGTTTTGTATTTTTGTGTGGGCTGTATACCGCTTACGACATTTTTTAATGTGCCCATCTGTCAATTATACAAGTTAGTAAATCAGGAAATGTATGTATGCCGCTTTCTAAACGGTATACGATTGACTTAACAAAAGCATTGGGACATAACATTCCACCTAGCGATAGGCCCGCCCTCACCGAATCCATGTGTTAACGTATGATGCACAACTGTGTAAGTTTTATAAGTATTGACAATTGCCACTACCAACTAGTTGGAGCCAAATTGTCATGGAAAAAAAAGCTCATCAGCGGTTAAAGATGCACTTTCTTTTAATGAAACATTAATGGTGTGCGTTTACAAGTCATTTCGACTTATATAGATTCATTGTTAGTAATATGCAAAACAATGGAGAATTATCAAACGTGCTTATGTGGAATATTAACCTGGCGGTCTAAAAAGAATGGCTTCTCATAATATTACAATGTTTTGTGAAAAGAAACCACAAATGTTGCTCCAAGTCATCATTTTAGGACTGTAGTATGTTCATTATGTATAGGAAGCTTCATTCTCCTGAGTTCCTCGAATTACAACAAAGAAACAGCTAAAAGCTGCTGCGCATGCAAGTCATTTCTTCTTGTGGGCCCACAAGTGTCAAAATTGTGGTAGACAACGTTGGAAAAATTGAGTGCATAAAGCAGCGAAACGTGCTACGTGTTGTTTTCTTCCGACGAACAAGCTTGTGTTTGAAGGCAAACTGGAAAACAGTTTTTTATTAATTGTGCTAGTCCAGTCGTGAAGAGTATTGGGACATCGTTTTAACCAAGATGGTTTGAACTAAATTTATCAGTAATAGTTAAAGAAACCGTGTTGTATTTCTTGTTTTATGACATTGTGACAATATTGCACTGAATGCATTGATGGGATTCTTTGGGGAAGAACCAAAGTTTTTTGTTTTCTTTTGCATTTTGATGCATCAAATGCCATGTCTACCTATTTTATGATACATACAGAACCTGCCTTGGTGATACCAGAGTCTGAAAATTAACTGCCCAGGAATATTTTGGAATTTGTGCAGTGCATGAAATGCAGAAGTGGCGAACCTCAACATTTCTCTGTGATGAGACCTGCTTTACAAGAAAAATGGTAATATGTTCCATTAGTTGGTGGCAAGTGTTAGTAACAATGTCTATGTTGGATAAAACTGTTATACGTATATAGATTATATATATATGTGGTTTTTGTTGTAAAGCTCTTTTTTATTTTATTTTTCATGAATGATTGTTTGTTTGTTTGGAATTAAGCACAAAGCTACACAATGGGCTATCTGTGCTCTGCCCACCACGGGTATCGAAACCCGGTTCCTAGCGTTGTAAGTCCGCAGACATACAACGCTAGGCCACTAGGGGGCTTCATGAATGAAGCTAATCATATTCGTGGTAACAGATTCAAAGAAGACTTGAAACCATATCAGAGCAGCATAATGTTTTTATTGCAAATCTTATCAGAATTTCACGTTTCACTCTGATTTTATAAAAATTGTATCTCGTATTTTTCGTAATATGAAATTATATCTAAATTACAAAATGATGCTTTTTTTTTTTACAGGAGATCAAGTTTTTATGATTGGAGGTATGTATAGCTTGAAAACGACTGCAGTTGATGAGCTTGAAATTTACGACAGAAAACGGGATTTATTGCAAAATTGGGCTCCGTTACCTGTAGCCTTGACTGGAATGGTTGCAGTTGTTATACCAACAGACACTAGGATAACTGCTAAAATCGAGCAGTTTGCTGCGGTTTGTAAAGATTAATAATAGCTGAGGAGTATTTGTTATAAACTTTCTTAAATATTTCTGTATCAGGTGAAACATATTTCAACCATTTAAGCTCAAAAGGTCCAAAAACATTTCAAAAATTGTTGACATTTAACCTCAGATATATTACTTCACACTGTGAAATATTAAATAGAAACAAAGATCGCGTTCAATGCACTGATACCAGTCTTGTGTTGATCCAAAGTGTAAAACTCAAATTATTTTCACTTGCCTCACCATCACTTCTAACTTCTTAGATATTAATTTTAGGTAAGTTACTTGAAAACTCGTATTTATATATTTTTGACACGTTACCATAGAAGGATGTATTAGGACTTCGTTTGCCCCAAAATACTATGGAAATCGTCTCTTCCGTGAGTCGAGGTTCAGCAGCAGATTTGGTGCTCAAATGATAGTATAAATGTGGTTCTCAATAGATAGCCTGCGGGCATTTTAGGCTCTCGAAAGCCTTATTCATTGTCCATACAAAAGTAAGCAAAACTGTACTTCGTGAAAGATGACCATAAATCTCTTTACTTTATGGCCGTTAGCTGAAGTGACCCAGTGTGTAAAATAATTGGGGACCACTGGTCTAAGAGAACGACTCTTATTGATATGTATTTATTTCTCAGAAAATAAAACATAATATTATTATGGCAGAACACAGACCTTAATGATTCGTCAAAATAAAGAAAAAAACATATGTAGCAAGTAGTGTTTTTCTTATACAGTAAGTATCGTAATAATTATCCTCGTGTAGTTAATAAATGAGTTAATTTCACTTAAGTACACATGTTTTATCATGCTTGATATGTTTTTATTTCGCAAGAAGGTGACATCCTGATATACAGAGGGTTGAGCACGTTATATTAAAACGATTTTGGATATGGAAATCAACAAGACACGTGACAACCATACCCAATAATCGCTGGAAAATAATTCTGACCTCAGACTTCATTATTCACAGCAGAAGCTATAAAAACACTGCACGGTTTCATTTGATATGCATTATTTAGCTAGTAGTATTTTTTTTCTTTATAGAGAACGAGGAAAACAGAAATTCAGAGAAGGCAGCAAGCTGCTAAAACGATTCAAGTAGAGTACAAAAAATACCATGATAGAAAATGCAAAGCAAATGAACACCGACTGAATTATATGATAAAGGTAAATATATCTTCTCTTTTTTTATTTATTTTAGTGGATGAACGACGGTTAATGATTTTCGGGTGAAAAATATCTATCCACGGAATAACAAAAACTTTTAATTCTAATTAAGTTAACAAGTAGTAGTTCATAAAAAAAAAAACAAATGCAAACATTATTTTGAAATATAGTTCGCAAACAACAATGGAGAGCAAACACTACTGGTAAATAGCAAATAGGTGTATTTCGTTTATTTTACATTCAATAGACTTATAAAACCATGAACCTCAAAAAAGTACAAACATGTTAGTGTTGTAGAACATGTTTTTTTTTTTTTTTTTTTTCATTTTGCACTTTTTTCAAATTCTAGAAAATGTCTATAGATGCAGATGAAAGAGTTTCTGGAAGAGTTCGAACATACCAAAGTGGCTATCGTCCTAAACTGCCAGACCAGAGTGACCTTTCAAAAGACTTGACTCCAGTTTCTATACCAGTAATTTTTTTTCTTTTTTTATTGTTTGCTTGTTTGAAGTTAAGCACAATGCTACACAATGGGCTATCTGTGCTCTGCCCACCACGGGTATCGAAACCCGGTTTCTAGCGTTGTAAGCCAGCAGACGTACCGCTGTGCTACTGGGGGGCTTTATTGTTTGCGTTAATTACCAAGGTAAAAGGATAACGATGCCTGCCGTTATTATGGACTGTATGAAACTTGGCATAAATTAGTTGTATAAACTAATATTTTACACCCACTTTTAGTGAATAGATAAGATGAATCCATACATAAAATCAGTTGCTTTGATTTACGTTTACAAAACAATTACGTGTATATTTTTCGTATACTTGATAACATTAAAAAGCTGGAAAGCTTTTAGCATAAAAACCAGTCAGAAACTTTAGTTAGTTCCCGGTTATCATGGTTTTATTTGAACTTAGAAGACTTGATCAATTCGGCCTAAAAGCAGAAGTAGAATTTAAGCAATGATAGAATCTAATATAAGAAATATTGTCTATCGTGTCTACTTTAAATTGAAAATTATTACCAAGTTTAGTTGATTAAACTGAAGCTTCAGTTTACGGATATGCACATTATTTTTAACGAAATTTGTGTTTTTTGGTGGCTTTAGTTAAAATATTGAAATAATATCAATAGACGATTAAGTCACACTCTTCTGCAGTACAACTAATTGGCGTTCTAGTTCACGTTTGGGTCTGTAGTCATCTTCTGATAGAACCGGTATAGCCTTCTGACCAACAACGTTAGAAACTGATATCCAGCTTTAGCTATTTCAATGGTGATATTCTACCTTTATATTTGACAAGATTTTGTAGATATCGGGTCTGGATATATATGTATGCCATTTTTATTAAACTCTAAAAATACTATGCGAAACTTGGCATAGATAGCGTGAATGTGATCTAGCCGTCCATTTAAAACGTATCATTACCTCGACTAACGCTAAAGACGAATACAGTAAATTGAAGTTTGTTTATGAATAGGTTGAGGTTCTATTCGGTTAAGTTTACTTCTTTATCCTAGAATTAACAGTGGACCCTGTTGTTGTTTTTTTTTCTGAGCTATTGATGCACCAATTGCTTGTATGTCTATTATTTTATTTATTTATTTACATCAAGTATTGTAACAGGCCAAAATAAATAGTAACTCAATATGATTCAGATTCGATGACGAAGAACCCACTTTGAGACTAATAATGCTTGGAGACGGCTTGAATGGGTAATGAAGAAAAAAACTTTAATATACGTTTAACATAACAGCAAATGTACAACGTTTCGACATAATGACAAAAACCTTGTCGAAACGTTGTACATTTGCTGTTATATTAAACTTATATTAAAGTTTTTCTTCATTACCCATTCAAGCCGTCTCCAGCCATTATAAGTTGTTAGTTTGAAGGCTAACTTGTAAAGCAATGTCTTCTGTAAGATTTTTTTTATTAATTTAAATGATTACATTAAAACCCATTACAAAGCTAAGTTTTTCAAACATTTTTTATATGTCTCGGTATTTAACAGTAATATAATACTTTAATTGTAGTTCTGGCCTCCAGATCCAGATCCCGTGGAATCTGTTTTTGCCACTGTGATCGAACAGTGCCACGATCCTGAAGAAAAAATAGGTTTTAAACATTTCTACACTGTTCCTCGCCAGATGGACCCCAATATAGGAATGCTCCGGTTTTTGGATGAAGACTTCCAACACTCAAAGTATCGTTCTAATTGTATACCTATTTTCTTAATCAACTAATTATACACTGTAATTGTTTTATATAAACCCCTGCTTGCTTTGTCTAATAACAATCACGAGTTCATTTATCTGAATTGTTTCTTCTTTGTTTTCACTTGATCATTCATTTGTAACTAAAGGATATTTCCTTTTTTTTTGTGGTAAAGTAGAATTGTCGTTATACAACAATTTTAACACTGTGTGTAGTCTACATGGTCAAAACCAACTGTTATTGTTCAAAGACAACTCCAGGCTGAAATGTAATTCGTATGTCGTGAAACCGATTCATTAAAATTGACTTGTATTTAACAGAAAACAAATGTCTAAGTCAGCCTCTTCAATAAAGCGCGAACTGTCTGTTGTTTATATATACACTTTGTGTTTATAGAAAAATTCTTGGACTTCGAAATGTCGAAAATACGCCATATTACATGAACCGTTTTCAACCGACGGGTGACATTCAGGATTATTCAGTTCCTGTCATCATAGCTGTTGGCGGAGTCGATCTGCGAGACCCAATGAACTTATCTTATGGTAAGCTGAAATTACAAACTGTTAGGTTGAAACCAGGCGTGTCGATCTTCGAGACCCAATGAACTTATGTTATTGTAAGCTGTAGCAATCCTGTACAGTGCGGGTCATTATAAGTTGGTAAACATTCCTATTTGAAAGGAAGATATATGAAACGGTATGTCAGATTATTTTTTTTGCGTGGTTTATGTTAAAATCGAAGAACCGAAAAGCGATTTGATTTACGAACTTAGAACATAAACACACTGCACACAAAATAATCAATTGAGGTAGCTCGCAAATTAAGTAATCTTAGCCTCCAGGTGGGTCAGGAGTACATTTGAGGGTTAAAAACGCTAAGATTTTGGATTCGATCCTTGCGGTAAGCATGACACAGGTAGCCCATTGTGTAGCTTCGCATGTATCCCGTTGATTCATTCATATAAATTCATAGGTTAGTTGAGGGCTTATGATGCTAAAACTCTGGGCTCGATCCTTGCAGTGAGCAGGGCGTAGGTAGCCCATTGTGTAGCTTCGCATGTATCCCGTTGGTTCATTCATATACATTCATCAGTAAGCTTGAGGGCTTATGATGCTAAAACACTGGGCTCGATCCTTGTGGTGAGCAGTGTGTACGTAGCCCATTGTGTAGGTTTGCACTTAACAAAATGTACAAAAGTAGCTTTACACTTAAATAAACGAATAATGTTAGTGCTTTGTTTCATGAGCTTATAGGGTGTTCTGTATGTAGTTATAGCAGAAAAAAACTTTATATATCCCACGGAAATGTTATAGTACCAATCATAGAGACTTTTAACCGTTTCCAAAGTGATTTTTAAGGGCTTATACCAACAACTGTAACTTTTAATATTGTTCACATACATACCTAAATCTATACATTTACATAAAAATGTAAAGGTATGTACATTTTCATAAGTATCATTTGAATTGCGTAGGAAGTAAAAATCATGATGGAATTGTGTTTGTAGCGTATCTTAACTATTTAGCGAACGTAACGTTTCTGTACTATAAGGTATTTAATGAAGCTTAAGTAATAATTAGGTAGGCATCATGGAGTTTAGCTTCCAAGACACCATTCTTTAAACAGAACTTACATATAAGTATATAAATTATACTTTTGGAGATAAATCACCTTTAAAAACTATTGTAGTAATATAATTTCTTGGCAACATTTCGAGCAAACATGGCTTGAAGAAGATCGTCTGCTCGAAACGTCGCCAAGAGATTAAATTACTACCATAATTTTTAAAGGTGATTTATCTTCTAAAGTCTAATTTCTATATTTTATCACCTTCGTACTTTTTTTACTTGTATATATATATATATATATAT